CGAATCGTTGCTAACTCTTGAGTAAGGGGCCAGGGTTTAGGGTTCAGGGTTTAGGGTTCAGGGTTTAGGGTTCAGGGTTTAGGGTCTAAACCCTCAACTCTGAACCGGAAGCCGCGCGCTTCATGCTGGCCTTTATAAGATGAATCGTGCTGGTTCATTGCAGGAGTTTGAAGCAACGCGCTAAGTATTTGTATGAGCTGAAGTCTAAACTCTCTAAACGGATTATACGGGCGATGATTATAGGGGTTATTAAGGGGGATACTAGGAATAGCTCATATGTCCTTCTTCAGAGGCATCCTTGGTAGCCTGAAATTCACTGGCTGGCAACAGGGAGGGACTTCTACAAAGCCAAACCGGCCCAAATCCAAACTTCTTGTAGGCCATCCAGTAACGCGTCTTTCGGGAGGGAGAAGAGTCTCCAATGGGTTTAGGGTTTTAGGGTTTTGGGTTTAGGGTTCAGACCTGGTATTCCTGCTGCAGCTATGTATTGTATAACCCATTGCAGGCCCCTAGCCAGCATTTGCTACTCCACTAGGGTATGCACTTTCGCCGCATATTGGGCCTGAAATCTTCACAATCCCTTTGCAATTGCTGAGCCACAAGCTAGACCTCCAAAATACCCATAATCATTGCCCTTCTACCTCCCAAAACGGATATATACACGCTATGGTCATGGGTATTGCAGAATTCTATTAACTCCCCTACTAACATTTCATTTTTAAGGAACCCTTTATTGCGGGTATCTGGGACAACCTAAACCTCAAACTGCTTGTTGAGTTCTCCAGGCCTCGCGAAAGTTCCTGGACGAATTCGTAAAATCAGTCAGTGAGCCGTGCGGTGCCAAGCTGCAACTGAAAGGAGCCGTTTTCAGCGTAGGGTTCAGGATTTGGAGCATATGTTGCATATACTGTACTTGGGGTGCAGAGGTGTTCTTATTACAGTAAGTTAGCTCAAGTTCCATCACAGCAACCCAGATAATCCCCAGAGTATGGGGCTTGAAGCTCCGCAGCTGCCTACCCCGAGAAACTGAAGACTTTTCCGTCGAAGGTTAAGGGTGTAGGGTTTAGGGGGACTAGGGTTTGGGGTGTAGGGTTTAGGGTTTAGGGGGACATATGAGCACAGCGACAAGGAATGCCCCTTGAACCAGCTTGCTCATCAGTGCGACCCGCATATCTTCCGGATGGAATGAGACAGCCAAGATGTTTTTAAGTATTCAGTATGAGTGTCAGTAGTCTTGTTATTAGTATTATTCGTCTTATTGGTGCTAGTATATTTTCGCTTTCTTTAGCAGACTATTGCTTTTGTTGTGACTATCTGTGGAAAACCTGCAGCCCAGGGCCTGAGATAGCACCACAGAGCACGACTTGACGGCCTTAACTTGTGAAACCTCGAGTTCAGGGTGTAGGGCTTAGGGTCTAGGCCCCTCCAGCATAGTTGTATGTAGGAAGATGTAGGGACCTGCATGCGTGAATAGCCCTTGTCCCTGGCGGTCGCTAGTAGAGCGTGGGGCGATATGCTAGGATATTTCATATTGCTCCGTGTTGACATCTCGGGAGTGTACAGTCAATCCTCTAGACTGTACACCTCGAAGCAAAAAAGCCCACGTGCTGAACCATTATGAGATGTATTTTGTGCTTGTAGCCCAACAAGTAAGTACCATTTTATCCTCCCGAAACAATCTCCACCTCCTAGTCCCCAAATAACAGCAAACAAAGTCCCCGCGATGCATACCCGTGCTATCTTTTGAGTATTTTTCGTTCAATTGCTGGGGGGGGGCCTTACGCCCTAAACTCGGGGATTGTGACCAGGTCGAAAGTGGATGCAGGGTGCCGGTATGTGACAGAGGCCGGACTGCTTTTGCTCCCAGCACGTGGATTTACTGACTTTCCAGGATGTAACTAGACCATCCAAATGCCTGTACAAAGAGCCTTTTAAGCTTGGGTATTTTCTGTATGCAGATCCTTAGGGAACTTGCTGAGCATAATGAAAGCTACAAGCTAGTGCAAGAAGTGAGGATACACCTGAATCACAACCTTCATGAACTTCCGACAATTCCAGTGCCTGTTCAGCGATACAGCAATGCCGTGCCTCTCGCTTAGCCAGGCAAATGACCCTTGTCAATGCCTCCGAAAATCCGGTTGCAGACGCCCACACAGCCGCGCTGGAATTCAGTAACGGTCAACTTCCCTCATTCTGGAAACACCATGTTGGCAAACTCCTACACATGCACTCAGCTGCGAGCCATGGATTTCGAGTTTAGTGAGTTTCTAGATTTTGTCTTGCCTGCAATGTCCAGCTGCTGTCTTGAGGCATGAAAAGTGGCTGCAAGTGTGGCAGCAATAATTCCTGAAACACCCTGAACCCCAAAGCCTAAAGCCTTAAGACCTACACTTGACACTCTGCTGGTACATTACTGCATAATCCCGAAGCGGGATAAACAAGGGCATGACAAGAAAGGACAGAATCCTTGAGGCAGGATCCTCTGCGCTACGCAGCGTCTTTGCGATTCATGAGGACCTGAGTTTCAGAAGCGATGAGGATTTCGATTTTGAGGTTCAGAAGAGTCTAGGGCCAGGGGTATATGGTTAAGGGGTAAGCCGCCTTTTCAGTGCCGATCTGTGCTGTTTGAGGACCTAGAGTTCCCCCTTGCACGCCTCCAAGCCCGCAGGGAGGGTTCAGGGGCACTGCGGATGAGGACGCCAACAGCCCTGTGGCAGAGCTGGCCACATCTCCTTTGATTACGCAGCGACATGGCTGTATGGAAGCCCTAAACCCTAAAAACCCTAAATCCTGATAGCTGAGCAGGTAACATCGAACCTCTTCAGGATTATGCAGTTTTGACCCACCAGGTTCAAAATTCAACCTATTCGGGGCCAGGGAACTCAGCTGCTAGGTGTGCTGTTTTTGTGGAAGTAACAGGTGGGGGCTGCCCGCAGGGTTTAGGGTTTCGGGCTCAGGGTGACTGATGTGGTTTCTTGCGGCAGAGTTCCTCGAAGCCACCCAAAGGATTTCAGAACGTACCGTATTGTAGTTGCCCACAGTGGGGTCCTCCCTATGGGTTTCAAAAGACTACCATCAGTATTAGAAGGACCCGCAAAAAAAGCTAGCCAGCACTGGCAAGAAGCTAAGCCTCAGTACTGGAAATGTTAAGTGGCACACCCTTCATGGACGAGTTCCACCTGACCCCGGGTACATCAACAATACCAGCGATCTAACTTCTAACTACAGTTATACACTCCCAAAACGGCACTAGGATACCACTGCCATTTAAATGGGTGCTAATTGGGTTCGATGCGGTTTGCAGGGAAACGTCACTGCCCTTCGGCCTCATCGGGATGACTTCGATAAACCCTAAACCATCCCTAGCCCAAAATAGTGTTGAGGGTTAGGGTTAGGGGTTTAGGATTAAGGGTTAGGGTCTAGGGTTTAGGGGTTTAGGATTAAGGGTTTAGGGTTTAGGATTGCGGGGTCAAGGGTTTAGGGTTTAGGGCCTTTAGAACGCTTTGTAGCCTCATGACACCCCCATGAAGGCCCCCCCTTTAAAGGGACCCGCAATTGCTCGAAGCACCCATATCCTTGCGAACCCTATGCGCACCCCAACCCTTAAGCCTTGAACCCCAAGTGCAAACCCATAAAAAACTGCATAAGCGCCCCTTCAAGAAGTGTGCGTTTACATATACATATTCACACCGTCTTCATGACCCTTATAAACCATTTAAAAGATAGTTGTTTTAGTTTCGGTTGTCCTCCACCTCCCTTAAACTCGAAACCTTAAATCCTAAACCCTAGAAAAACCTGCCATATCTTTCCCAGAGCTCAACAAGACCCTAAATCCTCAACCGTAAAAAAGCCTAAACCCTAAACCCCAGTCCTGTAGGTTCGCGCAGCAGATACTGGCGGGCGATGTTTACATCCATCAGAGCCTTGGTCATGAAGGACCTTCAGGTCAGCTTAGAGTTTAGGATGTAGGATATAGGGTTTAGGGTGTAGGGTTTGGGGTGTAGGATTTAGGGTTTAGGGTTTAGGACTTAGGGTTCAGGGTTTTGGATTTAGGGTAGGGTTTGGAATCTCAATTTCAGGTCGTTTGGACAGTTTGGTCTTACCTTTTAGTGTCTAAGGTTGAGGGTCTAGGGCAGGTTTAGGGGTTTAGGGTTAGCGGTTTCAGGAGACGGCCTGCTCGTGGAATGCCCTCTAACTAGGATCCTTTGCCGTCATAGGAGCCATGGTCTAAACTCCTTAAAGGGAGTCATATCGGGGATTACATAGGGGACTACTGTAAGGGCGTCTTAAGGGAGGTGCTAGGAGATAAGACTATAGCTGGATAACTGTAGGATCCCCATATATCCCCATTTAAGCGTCACCAAAATTCCCGTAGCAAAACCGCATTGACTCTAGAAGTTGTGACTGTCAGATGATGCCCTGGGCACTCGGGCGCTTTATGTCCTGGGGTCTATTTGAGCAGCCTCGTAGAGCTTTTGAAAACTGAGGCTGCAATTAGGTACTTACCTTGGATTAGCTAGGAACTAAGGAATGGATCCTTACAAGAGTCCCTATATAGCCCCTTATCGTCGTTTCCATTTTCTTGTCCATCCCTTCATAACCCTAAACCCTAAAAAGATACTTTAGGGTTAATGGGTCAAGGTCTTCTTCCTGCTGCCACCCCCTGCGCGATGCATTTATATATATATATATGTACACGCACGCGCAAGCTCTCTGATAGTACATAATCCTTATAATAGACCCAGCATATTTGGAAGCCTGTAAGGTTGGGCGTTTGGGTTTTAAGGTTTTGGGTTTAGGTTGGAGTGTAAGGTTTAATTAGGGTGCAAGGTTTAGTAAAGGTTTGGGGGTTAGGGCAGGTTGGGGCGTTCTCATTAGGGGATGGGGTCCCAATCGCCTTGACACCGTACCGTAGAAGCCCGCATGACGTGCAAATAGTTTCCACCTGGCATCTTTATGTTACTTAGCTCAAGGTGCCCCACAAACCTATTCTCATCAAATAGACTCCGTCATAACAAATCTCATGCCCTCCCCGCCCCGAAAACGTCTGCAGCAGAAGCCCCCAAGTTGCATGTGTTTAAGGCACCAACGTTTTACCCTAACCCTGAATTCCAACTTCAATGCTTTCCCTTGTCTCCAACACTTAACAGGTAGATCCCCAAGGGAACGCGAATAGGACCCAACCCTCTAAAAACTTCGGTTGCCTTGTAATTCCCTTACTTTAAACTGGCTCCAGCTCAGGTCCCGAGTTAATCTGCAGTCGGCCTTCAAGGGGGCGGGCTTCTCCTGGCATAGACCCTTGGCAATTTCAGAAGGAGCATGGGGGCTCTCACGCAATCACTCACTTACTCCCTCACTCATCTTGCCCTCTGCCTCTCCCTCTCTCCTCTGCGTTTCCAGCAATACATGGGGCTTGTGTGAGGCGATGCCAACAATAAGGACTATACGATCTTGGAGTCTAGACTTGGATCTCTTGCTAGGGGGAACTCACATACACACATATGTGGGTAGATATGTGTATATGTGTAATTTTATATACACCAAGATTTACGCGTTTTTCTGGGCATCTCTATATGCTTCAACATGATTAGTACCAATCCAACATTTCCAGCTTTTCAAGGTGAACCGCAAAGTATGTAGGTATGTGTTCAGGGTTTAGGGCCTAGAGTTTGCGGCCTCGAGATCTTAGTTTTTTGCGCTTTCAAGTTTGGGGTAGGGTAGAAAGTTTGCGGTTAAGGGGTTTAGTGACCCTAAACCCGTGGAAAGTTTGGGGTTCAGCCTGTTGGTCTTTGGGGTATATAGCCAGGCTGGCCAGAATTTCAGTACAAGACCAGGTAGGGCTTCCTCTTGTGAAGGGACTTTACTGGCAACCCCAAAGAGGGAACCCAAGAATATAGTAGGAACATAATAGGAATATACCTACCAGGGTCCTAATGTTCTTTTATATTCCTTCTATATTCTTGGGGTTCCCTGTTTGGAGTTCCCATTAGAACTCTTGTATTTTGGTGTGGGAAGTGTAAAATGGGTCCCCAAGTATGTGCACATGGGGTGTCCCTTTCAGGTGACCATGAATAGAACTCAGTTTACTGGGGGAGGTTAGGGTTTAGGGGTTATATAGGGTGATATAAGGGGGTTATAGGGGGGGGTTATGTAGGGATAATGGAAAAGAACATGGAAACTACTATTTAGGGTTTAGGAGAAGTTCCAGCGCTCTGGTGGGAGGTTCTCAACTTAATCCTGACATCACCCCAAGGAGGCAACGCCGCGCAATCTTTTTTGAAGTCCTCACACGCTTGTAGGGTCCCAACCCAGACCCCCTAAAGGATCCAAAAAATGGAACCCCCTAATAATCCCCTAGCTTCCCCAATGTAGTAATGGGTTGATATTGGGGGGGTTCCATTTTTTGGATCCTTTAGGGGGTCTGGGAAGGGATTGAGAAAACCATCCATAGTAGCCAGAATTCCGTGCGTCTAAGCATCAATCACCTCCCTAAAAGTTCCACACAACACCCCCTAAATTCTAACATTCATGCTAAGAGAAGGAGAGCTCTAGGCCTAAATTTTGTACCTCAACTTACAGCCTGCCTAAGCTGGAGTTGGGAAGTGGAAAGTGATCCTCGTGCAACCTCCCGTCCATATAAATTCATCTTCGTGCGCAAGACAGGGTACACCTTTATTCCCCCACACCCCCTTAAGCCTTAGTAAAGCAATTGAAAATGCCAGAGGTGACTTCGAAACCTGGCATGCAGAAGACGCTTGACTCCGAAAAGGCTGAAAGAAGGGGCTACAAGAAATGCTTCAAAGGGGCCAGCAGCAGCTGCCGCAGGGACTGCAGCGGTGGTAGTGGTGGTAACTGTAATAGTGAGCAGTTGGGGGGGGGTGGAGGTAGTAGCAGCAGTCGCAGCAGCCGTAGCCGTACAAACAGCAGCAGCAGTAGCAGCAGCGGCAGCAGGACGAATCGTATTCTACGGTGGCTACTAAAAAACCTGCATAACCTTAGGTACCTTATACCTTGGGAATCCTTGGGAATATTGGTACTGTAGTATATCAAGGTCATGCAGGAGTTTTAGTATCAACAGTAGGGTCCAAGAAAGACATCCTCCGGGGCTTTTCAAGCCTACAGCTAGCCGGAAGGATCCGCATGGCCCAATGTAGAGAGTGTTTACAGGGATTATTGGGATAATATAGGGTAATATAAGGATTATATGGGGATAATGGAAAAGAACATGGAAACTACTATTAAGGTTTAGGGACCATGTAGTCATCATTTGTATACATGGATCCCTATGGGTGGGAAACCACCCCTCTGAGCCGTAACCACCTTCTATCCTCCATCTCTTGTAGTTAGTACCATACCCCTATAGTAGTGCCCTATCGAATCCCTTATATAACCTTAAACCCTAACCCCTAAACCCTATATAGTCCCCTATATAACCCTATATACTCCCTTATAAGTTTGGATTGCAGCTCATATGCCTACCTGGCCCGCAGAACCCTCTAGATCCCTACATCATCTCAACGACTGGGGATTAGGGCTTAGGGTTAAGGGTTTAGGTTCCATTATGTTTTTTCGCTATCCTAACACCTAGACTTGAAACTTAAAGCCCTAAACCCTACAAAAGCATAGATAAATATGTACATGTACAAATGTATAAATTTCATAAATGTATATACACCCACACAGATGTATATATATATATACTAATATAACGCTAATATGACCCTAATATAACCCTAATATAGGAGTAATAATAGTATTTTTTGTAATTGACTCTTCGGCGGAGCTGAGGATGGCATGCCGCGTCCCCGCAGCGCCTCCGTGGTGGTTTACTTGGATAAGAACGCCATCTCCCCAGCCTGGGTTGCTGTTAAGGAACTTAAATTAAGTTACTATATTGGGGAAACCCTATTATTTACTATATATACCCATTATGGTAACCCAATTTAAGTTCCTTATCAGCAACCCAGCAGCACCGCGGAGTTAAACGTTTGAGGCTGTAGGGTTTTGAGGTCTAGGGTTTAGGTTTAGGGTTGGGGTTTAGGGTACATGTTTAAGGTGCAGGGGTTTAGGGTTTGGGGCATGGGGTTTAGCGTCTGGAGGGGGTTCCGAAACGGTTCCCACCACGGGTAGTTGGGGGTCTGAGCGAGCACTATGAACCTCTCTACATTTTTGGGCTTCTATAAGCCCATTGTACAAAAACGTGTAGGCTTTTGGTACTTTGGCAGTTGAGTTTATGCTACGCTTAGGGAAGCATGCGTTGAATGCATGGGGATGCAAGGTCTTTGGGGTTTTGATGGGTCAAGTTTGCCGATAAGCACTAACCCGAAACTCTAAACCGTCAACCCCAAACCCTTAAAGCCTAAACAGTTGAACCTTTTACCTTAACCACTTCAAGCCTAAACCCTTAAAACCTAACCCCTTAACAGCTAACCCCTTAAAGCCAAAAACCCTTAAAGCCTAAACCCTCAAACCTTAAACCCTAAACCTTAACTGGGTTCGCATGTGAGTTGGCACACATCTAGCTCCGGGATGATAATGTGTCAGTTTCCCTTTCAAAAGTTTTCTTTGTAGGGGTTGTATAGGACTAGAGAGGGTTATTCTATAGATATGTATATCATTCTATAGATATATATCTATATATGTATCTATAGTTGGTTCAGATTGGGGGTTTATCGCTTCCAGATGATAGGCGTACTAAGGGTGATCGTCTTTTGGGTTCGCATTGGGGCTCTTAAGGGTTTAGGGTATTGGTTCGTGGGTCGGAAAGATTTGCTTTCTTTCCTCGACCATTTGTCAGCAATTGCTGGGGGGCCGCAATTTCACAATAGAATCCAGAATCAAGAGGCTTTCCTAGAAATACAGGCATTGCAGGGATCCCCTACTACAAGACTTATCGGGCCATTGTATGCTACCAAGCATGAAAACTACTACCAGTGCATCCCTACACCCTAAACCCTAATGTTTATGACCAGCACTGAGGTTGGTATAGTTCTGTCTCGCGTCTTTATCACATGTGGAAGTCTGTCTCACAGCAGGATGTGTGCTACTTCAGGCATATTTTCCCCCCTTTGCCAAATCCTAGCTGGAAGCATCTTCAGCATGACCAGGTCGAGAGCAATGGTGCTCTGAATCTCGGACAACTACAAGAGGTTTACTTGCATGATCTTTTGACTTAATAAGTCCACCTACTATCCTCCATACCTCCCATTCTAGCTCAGCAACCCCTGTTCCTAAGCTGACTTACTGGGTCAAGAGAGCATCCCAGTCGGGTTAGGAGGGGTTTCACGGATGGAGTGCTTGAGGTTCTGGATTTGATGTGAATGAAAGCCTTTCCTGATTGATTTCGACGAATCACAAACAACTTTGCGGGGCTGACAAAGAGTTGGCGGCCATGCAAAGGATTTTGAGCACGGTATACATTTTTGGCCGTCCCATGCCGCGAAATCTTGCAGCAGCGCGCTCCAAATCTGAGCCCCTTGCACTCTGAGCCATGCTTGAAGGCTTGGGAAGGGTCGGAAGAAGATTTACCATAGCGTGACAAGTGTCCCCTCAACCTTCCTCCAGACTGACATGGAGCACCATCTAGGCCCTTTCAGAGGACAGCCGTCTACAAAAGGCCCCTTTCGGGGAGCGTAGGGCAAAGTACCTACAACGGCATCACGTAGAGCAACTGTTTTTGGCATTCCGTTTGAGTTTCCAGTCTCAAGCCTCCAGCCTAATCACTCAGCCCTTAAATCGCTATTATTTACTATATAGCCCATATTATGGTAACTTCATTTAAGTTCCGCAACAGCAGCCAAGTAAATCCGAATTGAAACCCTGGAACCCTAAGCCTTTCGTTGCTGAGGATGGTTGTCCCTGGCTCACACAAGAGCTTCATCCGCTGCCCCGGGCGCCAGGACGAAGCGCAGGGATACAAACATATGAATATACATGTGTCTACATATACATATACAGATATACATACCCTTGGGTGAAGGGTGCGTCTCAGGGCGAAGGGTATGGGGCCTGTGTTTTAGGGTTAGGGGGGTAGCCTTTAAGGTCAGGAGTTGGGAGCTCAGGGTTGAGGACTTGAGTCTTACAGCGCGGGCATTTAGATTCTATGTTCCAGCGTGTAGCTTATGATTCTTAGCGTTTTAGGCCTCAGGGTCTGCGGAGACCCAAATTCTAAACCCATAAGTTCATGGGCTTCTGGGGCTGCTAGGCCTGGGCATAGTATGGCCAGTTTTTAGGGTACCCTAAACCCTGAAAACCCTAAAACCCTAAACCCTAAAACCCTAAACCCTTATTGCGTGAGGAAGCCCCTGCAGGCCGATATACAAAACCACCAGCTGAAGCAAATTCCAGGAAAGGGTTTTGTTCGGCCAGGTAATATCCCGTAGTCCCTGATAGAAACTACTAAGACCGCCCTTCAGTTTCCTAGCAAGCTAAAGTGTCAGGGTTTTTTTGTTTGGTAATATTAGGGTTATATTGGGGTTATATTGGGATAATGGAAAAAATGGAAACTACAGGGATTATAGGGATTATATAGGGATTAGATAGGGTTATAGGTCATGAAGGAATTGAAAAGATTTGTTTTTTTTTCATATTTTGGGGGTTCTACATAGGGAATGC